GGATGTTGAACAACCACGGACCTGTGATGTTTATACAGTGTTCTCTGATTGTGCCTATGGCACCTCTGCTCTTCACTGGTTCTATTCTGCATTTCTTCCATATCGTTCACTCCAGTACGTCGTTATTTTACTGTGTAGATTTGGGACCTGTCCCTCCAGTATATTCCACGTGTATATTATTTGGAATCTCTCTCGTCTCCTTTCTAGAGAGTACATTTGGAGAGCTTTGAGACGATCCCAATAATTTAGGTGTTTTATCTCGTCTATACGTGCCGTATATGTTCTCTGTATTCCCTCTATTTCAGCAATCTCTACTGTTTGAAGGGGGAAGTGAGTACTGAGCAGTACTCAAAACGGGACAGTACAAGTGATTTGAAGAGTACAACCATTCTGATGGGATCTCTGGATTTGAAAGTTCTCGTAATCCATCCTATCATTTACCTGACTGCCGCAATATTTGCTTGGTTATGCTCCCTAAACGTTAGGTCGTCAGACATCATTATTCCCAAATCCTTTACATGCTGCTTTCCTACTATGGGCAGATTTGATTGTGTTTTGTACCCTGTTTTATGTTCAAGGTTCTCATTTTTAACGTACCTGAGTACCTGGAATTTATCACTATTAAACATCATGTTATTTTCTGCTGGGATGGTCAGCTGGGTGCGGGGTTAGTAGACCATTTGGCCGACTATCCGGATAATTAACTATCAGATGAGCTGTCCTCTCTTAGTGCCGGATGGGCTGTTGATCCCTGAAGCTGGTTGGCCGGTTGAAGGGTCGGCTGCCTATCCAGGTAGATGATTTCTAGGTGACTAAATGTGTTGTTAAGAAGGGTTGAAGGTGGTGGGTAGTTGGGTGTGTAATGTGTTGGGGTGAGTGTAGCCGCTGTGGGGCACGTTGGTGTGTTGGGTGTGAGTGAGGGTTGGTGTCTGCGGTGTTTTGTCTCAAGTGCTATTGTCTTTCCGAGTGAGTAGCGCCGCCCCAGTCTTGCCTCGTGTGGGCGCCGCCCACCATTGTTGCTCCCCCCCACCCTCTACACCCTTCATCACCCGCCCGCCTTCTCACCAATCCTCCAGCTCAAGTTAAACACACACACACACACACACACACACACGCACACACGCGAGCGCGCGCGCGATAAAACACCTAAAGTATTGAGACCGTCTCAAAGCTCTCTGGAAAGGAGACGAGAGTTATAAAATAATATACACATGGAAGATACTGGAGGGTCAGGTCCCAAATTTGTACAGTAGAATAACAACATTCTGGAGTGAACGATACGGGAGGAAATGTAGAATAGAACCAGTGTGGAGTAGAGGTGCCATAGTCACCAGTGTGGAGTAGAGGTGCCATAGTCACCAGTGTGGAGTAGAGGTGCCATAGTCACCAGTGTGGAGTAGAGGTGCCATAGTCACCAGTGGGGGAGTAGAGGTGCCATAGTCACCAGTGGGGGAGTAGAGGTGCCATAGTCACCAGTGGGGAGTAGAGGTGCCATAGTCACCAGTGGGGAGTAGAGGTGCCATAGTCACCAGTGGGGAGTAGAGGTGCCATAGTCACCAGTGGGGAGTAGAGGTGCCATAGTCACCAGTGGGGAGTAGAGGTGCCATAGTCACCAGTGGGGAGTAGAGGTGCCATAGTCACCATGAGAGAACACTGAACATCAGAGGTCCACGGCTGTTCAACACCCAGCAAGCATTACAAATATTGCTGGAACAAAGGTGGATGTTCACCAGTGTTCACACACCAGTGTGTGAACACACCTGTGAGTGAACACACCTGTGACTCTGGGTTGCATAAATGTTGCTGCTCTTGTCATGGTTGCCGTTGTAGCCACTCATTGAGAGCTGTGAGTGGCAGTCCCTGGTGGCGCAGTGGTAAGAGTGGCCTCACCAGCGGTATGGTCCGAGTTTGACTCCTGAGCAGGGAGGATTGACTAGGCTCCCAAGCCTTAACTTTGTTCTTCTGTTCACCTAACACAATTTGGCTACGCGGATGTAAATCAAGTACCGGGTCGTGTTCCAGAGTAAACTAGTGGGTACATTTTTATTTAGGGCCTCACGGCTGAGTGGACAGCGCTCGGGGGTCGTAGTCCTAAAGGCCCAAGGTCGATTGCTGATCGAGGCAGAAACAAATGGGTCTAGTTTATTTTACCTGATACGCCTGTTCACCTGGCAGGAAATAGGTACCTGGGAGTTAGAGCAGCTGTGGGTTGCTTCCTGGAGATGTGTGGGTGAGACATATTTATTGTAGGAGGAAAATAGGTCGGGAGTTGAGTATATTAAACAACCGACGGTTAGAAAGGCGGGGTCCAAGAGCTAACAGCTCGATCCTGAAGGCACAAACAGTAAACATACACTCGCACGCACACCCTCCATACATTGTAACATACTCTCAAAATGTTAATATTTTGGCAGTGTTGAATATTTTTATTATTCTGTATAAAAGTTTTTCATCATTAGAGGAAGAATTTGAGGTGTTAGCGGCGAGCAGTGGGAAGTGTGGAGGGTGACTGTGACAGGCAAGAGTGGTGGCGGCGGGTCCCATACCTGGTGAGCCTTGGCCAGGCCTTGTGCCGCCTCCACCAGTGTGCACCCTTCCTCACCCTGGCGTGAAGGTTGTCACGCTGAGGTCACGCTCAAGCGCACCCACCCACATGGTCTCACTCAGGCACAGGCACCCGCCCGCCCGGTCTCACTCACTCCTCGCTGCCTGCCCCCTGTGTTCTCGCAGACAGAATCTACTGGGGTGTATTACCTACGTAGGCGTAGGTAATATATGCCTACAACTGTGCCAGACTACCTGGCCAGGGACACCATAGGTGGTGCACCCGTTCAGCTGGTCACCCTTTACCCTAACCTAAACACACCTCTTACCCACACCACGACTATGGCCGCACGCACGCAGGGCACTTCTCACCACTGAGACGGCTTCCCCCCCCCCACCTGGACAGGTGCACGAAAGGTGGTGGACCTTTCCAGGTGGTCCTGGACTGTCGTAGGCGTAGATTACCCTACTCTGTGTGACACTAGCGGGGCTCCGAGTGTGACACTAGCGGGGCTCCGAGTGTGACACTAGCGGGGCTCCGAGTGTGACACTAGCGGGGCTCCGAGTGTGACACTAGTGGGGCTCCGAGTGTGACACAGGAGTATGAGTGTGGTGCGGGGGATGGTGGTGTGAGGGGCCACAGGTACTGGTCACGTGACTGGCGGCCCCGGGGAGACACTTCCAGGTCTTGTGGTATTGATGCCATTACCGCTTTATACTGGAGTGGTCCTGGCCTGGTGGGTGGCGGGTGTACCCGGGGCCCGGAAGGAGAAGATATACTCCTGACATTTAGGGAGGGGGGAGTGTTGAATCCCATGAACGTGTTTTATCCTAAAAACTCTGGTGGACGCTAACAAATGATGATGATAATTTTATTTAATAATATAGAGGATAACATAAGTGGTTAATTGTTATATCAGGCCATCCACCTGTTGTGGTAGTACTTATAGTAACGATGACGGCCATAGTATATATGCCCACCTACAACGAAATTAGAAAGTAGAAATCTGAACTATTGAGTTGGACAAACCGGACAACTATTTTTTTTACTTGTTGCTTTAACAAGCTAACCATCCTAGGCCTAATACACGATATCTGAGCCTAATATAGTACATATGTGTGCTATATTAGGCCTAAGAATATTTAAGCTTGTGTTTTAGCATCATTTATTTTAAAAATATTCTGACCTACAAGGCACGCCCACCCGCCCGTGCTTACTACACACACACTTGCACAGTGTGTGTGTGTACGCGCTTATCTAGATATTACTAGATAAGCTACCCGGCGGTGTCCGGGTGTACCCTAAAGGGTTGATAAACTACAAGAGGGGTGGACCTGACCCCGGTAATACATTATAGACTCGTTCAGATACTTAACACTGGTTTCTTGGAAAGGGGGAGGGGGGAGTAGCTGTGGGAGCTTACCTCCTTTTAATTGGATGAACTGGGCCGGCCCCGACCCGCCCATGCTGGTCACTTGCCTTTCAGTAATCACCCAGTAAAGTTTCGAGAGTATAGGCCCAAGAGTCTGGCCTCCCAATAAACATTCTCTCTTGTACTTGCCAGTCCTCCTAAAATGAAAGTACTTACAGTAACGATGTACTGGAAAGTGCCAGTATGCAGTGATGGACCGCCAGAAAGTACCAATATGCAGTGATGGACCACCAGAAAGTACCAGTATGCAGTGATGGACCACCAGAAAGTACCAATATGCAGTGATGGACCACCAGAAAGTACCAATATGCAGTGATGGACCACCAGAAAGTACCAATATGCAGTGATGGACCACCAGAAAGTACCAATATGCAGTGATGGACCACCAGAAAGTACCAATATGCAGTGATGGACCGCCAGAAAATTTTTGTAGTACTGAATTTGGATAAACCGGAAAAACTTTTACAATTAAGTAGCCAATAGAAGCTAACCTAAACATCCTAGACCTAAAACACACTATCTGAGGCCTACCATAGTACATATATGTGCTATACTAGGCCTAGGAATATATAAGTTTGTACTTTAACTATACTTTTGCCAACTGTATACAAAATATGACAAAAGTGGGTTCCTGGGGCCCCACCGACCCCGTAGCTACAAGAGGTATTATGAGGGTCGTGGAGGGGGCGCTGGTAGGTATAATGATGTACCTTTGTGAGTTATTAGAGCTGAAGACAAGCCTCCTGACCATTATAATGTTATCAGAAGACAGCCTTCACAATACTTGTGAGGAGCGGTGGAGTGTGGCGAGCAGTGAGTGAGCGGGCGCCAGCAGTGAGTGAGCGGGCGCCAGCAGTGAGTGAGCGGGCGCCAGCAGTGAGTGAGCGGGCGCCAGCAGTGAGTGAGAGTGCGCGGGCGCCAGCAGTGAGTGAGAGAGAGGGCCAGCATGGTGCAGGAAGCAGTGACAGGTGGCGCTGGTGGCGGCAGGTGGGTGGGTGGGCGGGCCGCCTGTGGGTTGCGGTAGGTGTGGTAGAGTGCGGGGGGCGGCCCGGGTGCTCCCACACCACCGCCCGTGATGGGCGGCCGCTGTAGCAGGACACACGGTGTACAAGACAGCCACTGGGTGTTGGCCCCGCCCGCCGCCCACCCCAACCTGTTGCCTCCTGTAAAGACCCCGCCCAGTGCCACCTGCCTGTGTGGCACTCTACACCACAGGTGCCGCGTGGTGCCAAGCGACCTCACACTACACCAGGAGGGCTGGGTCTCCTCACACGCCTTCCCACCCTCATCACACCTGCCTCATGTCGCCCGCAGCCATGAGGTGCCACCCGGTGCTATGGCCCCGCGTGGCACCGTCATGTGCCACCAGCAGCCTCCAGGGCCGGCGGATGTGCCACTCTTGGCTGACTCTGGCCGCCCTGGACCCCGCACCACGAAGGCGGCGGATGTGGCTTCCTGCTCCAGCGGCACGGCGGCCGTGGCCACCAGCAGCAGCAGCAGCAGTGTTGCTGGAGCCGTCGCTGCTGCCGTGGCCACGGTCTGGCCCACCATGCCTACCACCCTCGGCCCGCCCCCGCCCTCTGCCTCGCCACCACACACCTGCCTCGACAGTAGTCACACTTGTAAACTCATAGACGCTATGAAAATAAACAATATTATTAAAGAAAAAGTTTGGGAAATTGGGAAGGAATTGGCACCCAGTGGCGGAGTGTGCCAGTGTAGGGGCGGAGTGTGCCAGTGTAGGGGCGGAGTGTGCCAGTGTAGGGGCGGAGTGTGCCAGTGTAGGGGCGGAGTGTGCCAGTGTAGCGGCGGAGTGTGCCAGTGTAGCGGCAGGACTGTGACCTCTGCTCCTGTAGCGGCTGCTGAAGGAGACGCTGCCGGCCACAAGTCAGCAGTAAGCGTCAGGGCCCACACAGGAGAGGTCAGAACCCGGACTTGTCAGCGTGCCTCTATGCCTGAAGCCCCTAGCCACTGGTGCCACAGTGGTGGCCCGGGCCACACCCACCACCGTGGCCCGGGGCACATCTCCTCCAGCCTAGCCCGCTCCTTCTGGTGGGACCAGTTCCTCACACATTTCCTTCGGTAAGACATCATTACACTTCTCACTTTGACCAGACAAATAAGTTTATCTTTTTTTGATGCATCACTATAATTTCGTAGGTGTTGAGTGACACCCTGGGGCCCTTGGGTGATATTGTGTGCCCTTGAGCAGTACCCTGGGGCCCTTGGGTGATATTGTGTGCCCTTGAGCAGCACCCTGGGGCCCTTGGGTGATAGTGTGTGCCCTTGGGCAGTACCCTGGGGCCCTTGAGCAGCACCCTGGGGCCCTTGGGTGATATTGTGTGCCCTTGAGCAGCACCCTGGGGCCCTTGAGTGGCATTGTGTGCCCTTGAGCAGCACCCTGGGGCCCTTGAGCAGTACCCTGGGGCCCTTGGGTGCCATTGTGTGCCCTTGAGCAGGATGGTGTGTAGTAGAGAGGATCCTGCACGCAGTATGGGCCGTGGCGGATGGTACCTGACCTTTACCCCGAGTCAAGTCAGGTCCCACTCCTATAATAATAGTTATCTTACATCTTACAGAGGGTTCGATTAAAATAATTTCATTGTAGATAATTATACTTGTTATACTTGTGTCTTGTCTACCTCTTTATTGGAGCCATCTCCGTTTTTCGTCCCAAGTCCTTCATTTATGCACTCTGTCTCACTGTTGCTCTCATCGTTTATATTACCTGGCTCTGTAATATTGCTGTTATTTTGTACCACAATACCCTCTTCCTCCACACTACTGCTGCGGTTCTCTAAACTATCTGTTCCTCAGTTTTGGTCGTTATCCAATGTTGTCTTTTCCCAGTCGGCATATATCACTGGTAGCTTTTCTGTGAATGATAATCTCTGTGACTCGGGAATGTTTTTCATCAGTTTAGTTATGTTCTCCAACATTAACCTGTCATCTTTGTAAACCCAGTAAATTCCTTGTTTTTCTGTACATCCTGGAGATACTTCTGTACAGCCCAGGTGAAACCTTATGTTACAGATGCAACACTTGACGCCTACATTACGTCTTCCCAATACTCCCGAACACTCGCCACACCTCTCCATTGTCTGATGTATTGTATTGTATTTGTGCTTCACTGTATGGATCACTTGTTGATGTCAGTCATTTTAACTCTTTATAAAATTATATGTATATATTTATATATTTAATATGTATACCGTATATTTGTAATATTATGTAAGTTATTTTGTTCACACTTTATGGCAGGTACTTAGCGTAGGGTAGCGAAGCTGGTCCCTGGTGCGGTACAGGTGACCTCTTGTGGCCCAGGTTGATGTCACCAGTTTCCAGTTACTCGATTTATAACACTAATTTATTCTTTGCTTGTATTCTTACAAGGAATTTTCCGCCTAATTTCCGGCTTGCAATGGTACTCACTCACTTTATTACTAATTCCTAGATCCACATTTCCATATTACACTCTATATCTTCCGTATTTTATCACTGTGGGACTGTCCTGGAGTAGGCCTCGTGGCTTGTGTAAACACAGCCTAGCTGATGCCGCCTCTTGTCACTATTCTATATTTCTAGTAGTCTATATATTTATAATATTCTATGCACGATTTTCCTACACTTCCAACTTATATGTTGTTGTGATACCCGCTCCACTTCACTGTTCCACGAATCACTGTTCACTTTTTTCCTCATACACATGTACACAAAGCCTCGTGCACTGGCTCACACGTGGTCTCCCGTTTATTCTCTAACACAAACTTCCATTGTTAATGACTGTTTTCAATTTTCCAGCGGGTCACTGTGCACTTTGTTATGTCTGTAATCAGTAATCCATGGCAGTAGTCCTAAGAAATCCCGGTTAATGTCACGATTTTAACGGAGCGCGCACGATACGTCTTCCCCCTCCCTCGACCCAGACTCGACCTCAAACCTTGGTGTCAGTGCTCGTAGTGGCCACCCCGGGGCCCTTGGTGTGGGTGGTGGTCACCCCGGGGCCCTTGGTGTGGGTGGTGGCCACCCCGGGGCCCTTGGTGTGGGTGGTGGCCACCCCGGGGCCCTTGGTGTGGGTGGTGGTCACCCCGGGGCCCTTGGTGTGGGTGGTGGTCACCCCGGGGCCCTTGGTGTGGGTGGTGGTCACCCCGGGGCCCTTGGTGTGGGTGGTGGTCACCCCGGGGCCCTTGGTGTGGGTGGTGGCCACCCCGGGGCCCTTGGTGTGGGTGGTGGTCACCCCGGGGCCCTTGGTGTGGGTGGTGGTCACCCCGGGGCCCTTGGTGTGGGTGGTGGTCACCCCGGGGCCCTTGGTGTAGGTGGTGGTGTGTCAGCGCTCGTAGTGGTCACCCCCGTAACTTCCCTCCTCTTTTTTTATCATTATTTCCGTCTGTATTTACGTCATATGGGGGAGTGTATTTCCTTCCTCTGTGAGGTCTTCTCCCCGGGGAGTCCCACTCATTGTTGGGGGGGGGGGGGTGGGGGGAGAGTTCCCCGGGAGGACCATGTAAGTGACGCAACGTCGCGTGGGGTGTGTTGGTGGGGTGGGGAGGGTGCTGGTGGGGCCACTCTGGCTTTACCTCTTTCACTACTCAACTCTCTAATTGCTCTATTTGTGTGTGTGTGTGTGTGTGTGTGTGTGTGTGTGTTTGTTTGTGTGTGTGTGTGTGTACTCACCTAGTTGTGAGTACACACACACACACACTAGTTGTACTCACCTAGTTGTGCTTGCGGGGGTTTGGTCCCGCCTCTCAACCGTCAATCAACAGGTGTACAGGTTCCTGAGCCTATTGGGCTCTATCATTATATAATGTGTGTGTATGTATGTGTGTGTATATATATATATATATATATATATATATATATATATATATATATATATATATATATATATATATATATATATATAATATTTAACTGGTAATCCTTCAATGATTATCTTTAGGTTCGATTCTTCCCATGGAGGAGGCTGCCGAAAGTGTTGATATGGTCCATCTTCCCCTTTGTTTTTAATGGTCCATTTTAGGTTCACTTTCTCTAGAATCTTGACCAGATTATCCGTCCATGCACTTGTTCTATATTGAAGGTTTCTCTGAAGTGATCTGTGTATGGTGTCTTTGATTGACAGTCTGGTGGTGGTTCCATCAAGTTTTGCTGTTATGGTGGCTATCCTTGTTTGATCCTGTTCTCTAAGGCTGGTAAGTTGGTTTCCATTCTAAGGTTCTCTCTACGCGTCCATATAAGTGCTCCCAGCATTGTTCCGAGAGCATCATTTTGAGACACTTCCAGTTTCACCCATTGGTTATTATCTGAACGAGTTATAAATAGCTGAGTCTAATTGACTGGCTTGCATGGAGCTTTATGCACGGGAGAACAAAGTAGGAAAGATGTCGAGATGGGAGGAGTAGGGAATTACCCGAGTGGTCCCCCCAGCCACCGGGGATGTCACCAGGAGGGGCGTGTTGTCCCTGGTGTAGGTCAGTGCAGCCCGCCCTCCACCCGCCCTTGAGAAACGTTATCACCTCACCTCACCGTGGTGTGGGGACACCCACAACACTGCCGCTCATTCCTCGCCCAACCCTCGCCACCACCAACACGCACCTCGCCGCCACCCAAGCCTCCACTACTGCTAATTGTTCCTTGTTCATGTGTCATGAAGTTCACAGAGGACGCCATTACTGGGTGAGTGTGGTGTGGCCGCAGTGATGACCACCACGCTGGTCCTTACCTTGGTTACCTTGACGGGTTTTGGGGCTTAGCGTCCCCGCGGCTCGGTCGCCGACCAGGCCTCCTCGTTGCTGGACAGGTCAACATTTGGTCAGTGTGTCGTCCTGCTCTCTCACCATCATAACCGTGCCTCCCTCTACCGGTGTGTGTCAACACATTGCTATAGTGAAGAATATGTGTGGTCCCATACAACAGTTCATCCTGTGATGACAAAGATTGGTTCATTTATTATGCACCCCATATCCGTCCTGTGGGGGCTTAACCCGTTCTGTCCGGTTGTCACAACGGTCACAGAATGATGTACTATATTGCTCCAATGTACGCATAGAAAACGTGGTTGTTAAGGAGATACTCTGTCCATCATACTCTATCCGTTGGAAAAGTTGAGGTCAAATTGGGATGCATTGTTTGACGGGAGAGAGAGTGCGGTGGTTACACATAGTGGGCTCACGGGAGGAACCACCAAATTAATTTGACTTTTATTTATTTTATTTTATTTTGTAATTATTTATATATACAAGAGTTCTTACATTCTTGTAACTGAGTAAGTTACAGACTTGATAAGCTTGTTACACAGTTTAATGTATATTACAATGAATTTGAGAACGACCCCAAGAACAATCTTTAAGCTAAGTAACTTACATAAATGGTGAGCTAGTACACCTGTACACTTGTACGCCTCTTAACATGTCAACCCTAATTTTTCGCCTTTCTATAAAATGTAAATTAAGACTTGTCAATCTTTCTTCATATGACAAGTTTCTAATTTGCGGATTCACTTTGTCATGCTACGCTGGACGCGTTCTAATGAGTTTACATCACTCCACTGTACGGCGACCAAAACTCAACTACATAATCTTAATGGGGCCTAACAAGAGCAAGATATAACTGAAGAACAACACAAAGTGTTTTAATACTAACGCTTCGAGAAATAAATCCCAGTGTCTTGTTTTAGACAGTTGATAGTGGTAAGGTTTATGATGTTGTGTACCTTGACTTTAGCAAAGCTTTTGATACAGTGCCACATGAAACACTGATTAAAAAGATAGAGGCTCATGGTATTGGGGTGCTATATTAAGCTGGATTAGGGCATGGCTATACCAAAGGAAACAGAGTTAGTATCAACGGGGTTAAGTCAGGGAAAATGTTGTAAGTGGGGTGCCTCAAGCCTCTGTCCTGGGACCTCTGCTATTCATAACATATATAAATGATTTAGATTCAGGTTTGAGCAGCAACATTTGCAAATTTGCCGATGATACAAAAATCGGAAGAGAAATAAACACAGATAAAGACTCTCACTTCAAGTTGATCAAAATAGGGTTTTGAAATGGTCAAAGGATTGGCAGATGCAGTTTAAT